TCTCCAAGAATCCTTGAAGAATTATTTCTCACAACAGGTATTTCAGAGTCAATGGTCACCAGTGTAAATGTAAAGCTTTCTGACATATATGTGAAACCTTATGAAAAACTTACTACTTTTCCCCTCAGTTATCTGTACAAGGTATTATTGTGAGAAGAATCCCTTGCCTATAGCTTTAATCTTTTGAATATAGTGAATCAGTCCTTAAAATTGGGGAAAGTACACAGAAAATTTCAGTAAATACAATGGCACTTAAATACTATGGTAACAGACATTATAGAAAGTCCTAAAATATATAGATAATAATACCTCTATGGGAGAAAAAAACAACAACAACCTTCTTTGATGGTAGACCTTTCAAATTTTTGCCCAGTTTCCAAGCTATATTTTTTATCAGGATTACTGGAAAAAACTATTTTATAAACAATTACATATTCACCTTGTTCTTTTTGATCTGCTTAATAAAACTGAAATTTTGAAAAAGTCTGGTTTTAGATCATGTCACATCAGAGACAGAATTACTAAGGGTATTTAATGATTTACTTACTTATGGCCATAGATGTAGGATCTCTGTCACCGTGTCTCTGAATGTGTTTGCCACAACTTTATGAATCTGAATCCAGCACTAATTATCAGCTCTCCATGGCTGCTGAGCCATGTTCGTATGCTGATTATTCTATTTGAGAATGTGTTACTGATTCCATTTTAAGTGTAAAAATTTTGGATGATACACCATCCTCACATAGATCTGTTTCTTAAAATCCACACTGAAGCTTCTTTTTGCCATCTAATAAAAGTGATTAGGTTGAGATCAGTGGATAGCAAAATAGATTTGGAGCCACTGATACACACTTTTGTTTTCTCAAGATTAGATTGCTGGAATGTTTTTATTTGCAGGAGCCTGCATTATAGCTATGATTCAGCGTATTCTGAATGCAGCCTTGCATCCTTACATTCGCTTGCCTGAGCATGTTATTTGCATTGACTTCCTGTTAAATTACATATTGATTTTGAAGTTCTTCTTACATTCAAAGTCCTGAATGGCTGTGGTCCCACCAGCCTTTCTGTTATGTTGTGCTATCTATATGTTCCAGATGAATATTAAAGTCAAAATTATGAAATCATATGGTTTCTACAGGTCATAAACGTGAGTAAGTAGCAGCCAGGACATCTTGTAATTTTATATCCTTGTTATGGAATTCATTACCTGTTGCAATTAGAGATGTTCATTCTTGTCATTCAAGGCGAAGCTAATACAATGTTTATTATAAGCTTCTAGCTCTTAACTTTTGATATTTCTGTTGTGGTTAAATGTGCAGTGCCCTGCATAAATATAAGGCGGTGGTGGTGGGAATCTATCCGAAAGTGTGACTCTCTGCCTCTTAGTGGAGTTCACAACCCTGAGTTAGGCATCCAGGCTCCCTATGCAATACATGGAGAGAGTTAGGTGCCTAATAAGGAATTCACTGAAGCCAGCATGCTGAATGGGGAGTCGCCTAAACTAGTAAGTAAGAAATGCTGAGGAGAGGGGTGTGGCCTAAGCCCCATCCCTCAAAGGGAGTTAGGTGTCTATCTCCACTTGGGATACAGAGCCATGAACCTTCTCCTGGAGTTAGGCACCTAAGCCAAGTCAGCCCTTCTGCATGAAAAACAGAGGAGGTGGTAGTCTCCTTCTAGCAGTAGCCCAGTGGTCACATCTTCCAGGAGAGTGCCCTAACCACTGGGCTATAGATATTCTGGGGTGGGTCTCTCTCAATCTCTCCTGTTGAAGCTATTCCAGTTTGTTGGGTGTGAGAGAAAATGAGTGACTGGGAGAGTTCAGGGTGAACAGGGAGAACACGTAGGGTGGGAGGCATCAAGAATATGTCCAGAACGGACGTGTGTTTGTGAAGGGAGTTAGGAGAATAGTGTATGGAAGTTTCCTGTTTAACGGGAGTAAGTGAATCTAAAGGGTTCCCCATCTGGGTCATTAATAAAGAAGGAGACATCTTGATCCCCATATTGTTATCATCAAAGAGCTCACAATCGTCACATGATGGAAAATGGCTGGTTAAAAAACAAAACAAAACACTTGAATTTCAATTGGTCCATTGTATAGTGTAGTCTTGGCAGACTATCAGCATCAGGTCAGGCCCCACAGACTGTCCTCAGTAAATCTCTCCTGTTGGCTGACTTCAACACTTCTCCGCTGACAGCATGGTGCCAACACAGAGACACTGCTGAAGAGATTGATATGAAAACATGTTGTGATATGCAGCTAGAGTGAAGAGAAACATGTTTCAACCTGCTGTTCCTTCTTTACTTTTATACAGGGTATTCCAGCAAGCATCACATTCTTCAGTCCGTCTGGTGTCAGATTTTGTCTCCAGCACATTCAGAAGTTTTCTGGTGATCTTATTAATCAAATTAAGGTAAAGTATCCAATAAGTGTTAAAACATAGCAGGGAGGCATGTGGTCTAGTGGTTAGATCAAGGGATTGGGAATCAGGAGAGGTAAATTCTATTCCTTACTACCACTCTGTTACTCTGGGACCTTGGACAAGTCACCAGGCTCTTCTGCTTATGTTTACTTGTCTATAAAATACAGATTATAATGTTTACTGGCCATTAGAAAGGGCATTAAGATCATCAGTTGAAAGTGGCTAATTAGTGCAAAGTGTTTCTTTTTTAAAAAAATATCTTAGATTCTTAGTTAAAATGAGTTGTCTACCTCTTTCGTTAGTAAATCCCCTGTTGAAATCTGTGTATTTAAAGGTATTAGAAATGAATAATTCACTAATAGATTTTTAAACTTTGACCTCTTCAGTTTGAAAATTCCTTCTACCATGTGACTTTAAGTGGATGATAATGAATTATTAAGGCTTTTTTGTCTTCTTTTTTTTTTTTTAAATTAAAAGTTCTACAATCACATTTCCTTTATGCATTTAAGATCATCACACAAATTAAACCAATATGCTGTACGACATAGGTCCCTTCTTAGAATATAAATTACATAAGGTTGGTACCTTCAGAAAATAACGGAAATGGTGGCAAGCTGCCCCTCTTATGGAGAGGGTCCTCCATCATGGGGATTAGGAGAAATGAGGTGCAACTTATTACAAAGATAAAGCTACTTCTGTTTGACTCTCTCTAATATGAATTTGAGCTGCCTCTTTGTGGTAATCTATTTTCAAATGAATCATTTCTTCTCATTCAGGATGATAATTGACAAACAAGGACACATACTTTTCTGGCCCACTTTCTGACCTAAGGTGAAAGATATACTTGAGCTGAAGGGAAATTTCTCTTCAGTCCCCCACATTCTCATATAGTTTTTCCTCTTGTGGCACAAGAAATGTCTTCCTATAGGAGTTTACATTCACACTAGAGATGAGCTGTAAAGTTCAGATCAGGATATGAACTTTTCCAAAATGTACGGGATTTGAATCAGCTCATTATTCAAACAGGACCAGCTATAGAGGTTGGATCTGGAGCCATAGTTTACCAAAAATGAGGGCTGTTTGGATTACTCTCTAGTTTAGACCTTTTATAACTAAAGAAATAAATCTACTTGACCATATTGAAAGACTTTGGCTTTTTATACACATGCCTAAGTCCTGATTTTGGACACCTATAATTTTTATGGTCCAAAAGATAAACTAGTATCTTGGAAGCCCAAAGCTCCTGGCTGAGGACTGTGGTTGACAGCGCCACCCCACAAGCACAAGGGAACTGTCCACTGCCAGGGTAAAGCTCATCTGTATAAGAGACCGAACTTTCTCAGCATCCAGTCCAAGACTGTGGAACAAACCCTCACAAACTAAAAACTATCTCAAACATCATCACTTTCTGTTCCAAGGCGCACTGATTTGACCTTTCCAGAACAAGCACCCAGAGCACATTAGCCATAAAAAAGTAAATATAAACATTTTTTTAAAGAAAAAATCCTCACAAAAGGGCAGGGGTGAGGGGAAGAGAGAATTACGTGACAAATACCAGTCACATCATGTAAAGCACTTATGGAAGGTGCTCAGATACTATAATAATGAGGATGGTGTAAGAACCTGAAAAGAACAGATAGCATAGTGCATATAATTTTAAAATATGAAAAGAAGGCCCTGTTATGGGGTGCACTCACCTCTTGTGAGCACCCCCCGTTGGCCAAGTGCATGTGCCTGCACTTTCTCTGTAGTGTGTCTTTAGTGACTCAGCCCTCCAGCTGAGTTACACACAGTCTGTTTGTTGAAAGCAAAGCAAACCCCTTCTGGGGTACAAGTCCAACAGGGGTCTCTCTCAGTGCCTCTAACATCTCCACAAGTTGTCCCTGCTCCAGGATAGAGCAGTGCCCCAGGGTTCCCTCCCTGGTGAAAAAGTCTTCGCTCTCTTAGGACCTTTCTGACTGTAGCTCTCCAGCTGAGCCACTGCAGTTCAGTTCCCCCAAGGACCCTGTAGATAGCAGCTGTCCGCTGTGTCCCTGCTGCTCTAATTCCCTGGGCCACTTCCCCAGGGCCCTGCGCTGTCTTCACCCTTACCTCAGGGCCTTGTCCTGATGGAGTCTCCACAACCAGCTCAGGGCTCCTTCTCGCTTTCCGCGGCTTCTGGCAGCGCTGCCTCATCCGAGGTCCTGCAGGTCCCTCAGCCAGCCACACACCATCCATGCTCCCACCTCTAGCAAGGAACTGGAACTTACTCTGGCCCTGCAGGTGGTCTTATGTTGACCTGCTGGGCCCTGATTGGCTGTGTCCCACATAGCCACGCTAGGCAGCTCAGAGGAGCCTCTCCACTGCCCTTTCCTGGGGCAGTGTGTGTCAGGGCCACGAGGCCTCCAGCAGGAGGCCTCAGAGGGTCTGATATACCCCGTCACAGGCCCCAACAGATCTCTACTGTTACCACGCTTGCAGTGCAGACTAATAAAATCATACCATGTGAAACTTGACAATGAAAATTAAGTTGTTTGCTGTATTGTTTTTCATCTTCAGGGAGACAAACCTTTGTACACTGTTTCATGGTGTTATGTGGTGGTATTTGCATATAGCAGAGAGTAAGAGGGATAGGAATTCATAATATTTATGTAGGCTAAAAGAATCAGTAGGCTGTATCCAGAAGCAGCTTGTGGGGTGAGTTCAACAGCAGGGAAGTATGCACTGGATCATCATTTTTATGTATCACAGCAGTTGCTGGGAATTACTACAGAGTTTCCAGGGAATATGGAAATAAATCATCCACCAATCAGGGCCGGCTCTAGGCACCAGCAAAACAAGCTGGTGCTTGGGGCGGCACATTTTTAGGGGCGGCATGGCCGGCGCCAGAATGCCGCCCCTAAAAATGTGCCCCGGCCGCCCTAGCTCACCTCCGCTGCCGCTCGCGCGCCGCTACTCGCCCTCCCTCCCAGGCTCTCAAGCCTGGGAGGGAGGGGGAGCAGCGGCGCGCGAAACGGCTGTTTCGCGCGCCGCTGCCACTCGGAGTCTCCCCCTCCCTCCCAGGTTTGAGAGCCTGGGAGGGAGGGGGAGAAGCGGCGCCCGCGCCGCGGCCACTCGGAGTCTCCCCTCCCCCCCAGGCTCTCAAACCTGTACCTTAGGGACTTGGTGAATGACTGACTTGATGATTCCAGTACCGATAGAGTAACTTGAACTTGCTCAGAAGGGCCACATAACTTTCTCTCTAGCAAAGTTTACAGCATTCTGGAATGTATATACATGGTGAGTTACTCAGCATATAGTAGGATTCCCCTCATGGGAGTGTGTGGGACAAACACAAAGTTTTAAAGGATTCAGAAGCAGCAATCTGTGCACATTGCATCCCTGTATAACTACCTGACATTACTACAGTCAGCCTTGTCCTTCTTCCCTCTTATTGACTGATACTGACTTGTTGCATCTTACTGGTAAGCCAAGCACCTGCAACAGGATCGCCTAACATGAATGAGGGTGTTGTAGCCTTTGCAGAGACATTTCTCCTCAGAAGGAGGGTTGTTGTTTTTTCTGACTTCCCCAATCCATTTCCTCCTTTGGGTAGGATTTGATTTTCTCATGATTATTATAAGCCAAGAATAAGTGCCTGCTTGAATTGGCACTGACAAGGCTGGCGCATGTTAGAATCTATCTTCCTTGAGTATGAAAACAATAGGATTTTTAAGGTGTTTGGACCAGTGAACTAAGCCATAAGCTTTACTTAGTCATTACAAAGCAGCTAAATTTGATGTATTATTTTAATATAGAAAATCCTCAGCCCCAAACAACTTTTACACTTAAGTATTCAAGTTGGACATGTTCATTAAGTTTGATTAGAGGCGGGACAGAATGATAGAAGACACTGAGATAATGTAGCAAGAGCTGATACTAACACCACATCTGATTCTATTATATACGAGTATAAATGTTATTTGTCATTTCAGTTTGCTGCTATAGGTCCAACGACAGCAGAAGCAATGGAAGCTGAAGGAATCCCAGTGAGCTGCACCGCAGAGAACCCTTCTCCCCAAGACCTTGCTGCTGGTATCAAAAAAGCCCTTCACCTGTAGAACTGCTGTTTACCTGAGTAGAAGCACCACACATGTTGCTGTAATAATCCTCCAGAAATTTAAGACAATTCATCAGTGTTTAACAGGGATATTAACATTCATTTGGATTTTTTTTTAAAAAGCCATGCTCTCTGCCTTATCATTCAATCCGTCCTTGATCATCCATCTTCTAACAGCACTGTGTGGTGGGAGTGGAAAAGCTAGATTGACCAGTCAAGATCAAATATATGGCTAATTTTGATGACCCACTAATAATGGTCATTAAGAGAAGACGGTGATTTTCACCATATGTTAGCCAGCCGAAGTCCAAAACATAAAAAGTCAGTAACTAATACCAACCACCATGTTAAAGAAATCAGATTATTAAACCAGTATTTGGGTAGTGTTATATCTGCTGTTTTTCATATTCCAGATATACTTTACATTATGACATAATACCTTTCAAAAATATGGTTCAGAGTGACTTGGAATAAGTGAAATTGTTTCATTCAGTCAGTGGTCAGGTTTGTATTGGACACTTTTGTATTCTATATTGCCCCTTTCTTGAATACTCAAGAACTGCTGCATCTAAAACTTCATGGGTCAAATTCCACCCTCATACGTGCACTCCCATTGGAAATAATGAGAGCTGCACGTCAGTATCTGAAAGCAGAATTTGGCCACATATGTAGCATGAAACAAGTTAGTTTTTTTCCCTTTAATTTCAACCCATGGCTGGAGTATGGATAATTTGGTATGGTAGTTCCTTAAAAGTCAGTTGGTTACAAATTGTGAAAGGCTAGTGTTGGACTTATTTGCACACGCGTGTGCGCGCGCACAGACACACACACAGAAAACCACAGTGGGTAGCTGATAGCATATAAAACAGGGTTTTACTCTTTGGCTTCAATGTCATATTGTTTGTGAGCACATTTTGGGGTTTAAAACAGATCGTGGTAAATAATTATAATTACAATAAAAAAAATCTGTTGTGAAAGTTGCTTTGCAATTCTGTTCCCTATTTACCTCAATAAGCATAAATATTTGCTTAGATAATGGTTGTAGAGCATGGTAGTAAAATATTATGAAGTATTTATATAAATATTGCAAAAATTGTAGCAGTCATGGAGCTAAAAGTAGATCAATCTGCACTACTATATACACTTCTCATGCTGTACCTTTCGACTCATATGTCCCCAGCTCTAATTCTTTTGGTTTCTGTCCTTCAAAGAAAGGAGGTTTATTTGTAATAAGAAGTACTAGTTTATTAGTGTTAATGAAGAAGCATTATAAAGATACTCCTGTGGTTACATAGTTGTCAATGTTAGATAGGGTTTATAGTTTGTTTCTCTGGGGCAGGAGAAAAATAATAATTTAGAACTATGGGTACTTTCAGCTGATGTTAACATACATTCTTTTTCAAAGAAAATTTAAATCAAGATGTGCCCAATTATAATCCTCATTATTAATATTTAAGTAATTAATCTTTAATGCTGGTAAGGGGCCATGACATCACAGCACAACACATAAATGTCTCATTTGCTGCAAGTTTCTATTGGTTTAATTCAAAGTGTCTGAACTGAATGAAGTTATTTAAACAAGAAATTCCTTACCCAAAATAGTAGTTAAAAGTCAGATTCCAATTCTGATCTACAATTCACGTGGGTCAATGGAAGTTGTACATATGTATGTCAGTATGACTCAGCCCAGTAAACATATGAGGATCCATAGTGGCTCGATTCCTTAGGCTGAGATAGAATTGCAGAAGTGTAACAGCTGTGGGAATTACTTTGTATCAGTTTTTGCCTAAGGGTATTGAAAGCCCTCACAACATGCAATCTTTAATTACTCTTCTCAACAATAGTGGTCAACACTGGTCATCATAAAAATCTACTAAAACTCTCTGGTGTTGCTGTGCTCACTGGATGTAGCTGCAAGACTGTGTATAGACAAGTCCCAAAGGAAAAGTGGAAGAGAATGATTAGAAAACAATTGTTGACCTTCTCTGTCACAATTTTCTTTAGCATAATTGAGTGTACGCTAAGCCAAATTGTATAGCACTCAGATTCAACTATGTAATATCATTATGTCGTAGAAAATAGCAGTTCAGCTCATTCCTTCTTTCCGAAATAAAGCTACAGCTGGTTGAGGATTTGGAAATCTGCTCAGGTTCCCTGCAATATACCACTCGGAAAGCTTTAAACTTTCAGCACGTTCATAGTCTGAAATATGTCAGACATCTGAAAGCAGATTTATATGAAACTTACTGTTCAAGGGCGGGAAAGGCAGAAAAATCGACTGGGAACAGAGATGAGCATAAGTTTCTCTGATGGTTGCATTTACTCCCTCGACAGCATTAGTATAAGATGAATTCAATTATTTGCCTGTTACTAAATTTAGACCCCTCTTTTAAACTATGTGTCTTTCTGGCAGACACCAACGTCTATAATCCAATCTGAGTAACAGATATTTAGTGCACAGGATGGTTTAAAAAAAGTGGGGGAAGTATAGTCCAGAAACATCATCCATTGCTTGCTGATAAACAGGAAATATTGACTGAATCACTGAAAGTTGCATCCTGTATACTGCAGTTATTAATGCTACTGCGTGCTGTGTATTGCAGGATATCTTTTAAAGACAATGAATAAAACCGAAACAGGTTCTGTTCTTGAGGATCTTACATTCTAAAGACAACAAGCACTTAATAATTTACCAAATAGCCCTTTTATTGTCTACTGGCAAATAACTTAGGGTTCAATTACACCCTCCTGCAAGAAAACCCAGGGATGTAAACACTACCAGATTCTCCTCAAGAAAGTTTGTCCCCAGGCATTCTGTTAGGGGGTTTGCTCTCCCCATTGTTCAAGCCCTAGGGTTGGCCTCCAACCCCTGTGGATCGCAGGAAATCAGCAGGAGGCCAGGGGTCATCAGAATGGAGGCCCTGCACCTTGTACGAGTTATGTAGCCATGGCATCACTTATCAGGGCTGCTGCAATCAGCAGCTGCCCTGAGGTCCCCAACATTGGAGTGGGGCACCATGGAAAGATAGCAGTCAGGGGCTAAATTATCTTGCTCCCTGCAGGGCCAGTGGGGAATGATGCACTCTCCTCCTAGTTTCTGGGCTTCCTTAACACGGTTGTAACGTGTTTGTAGTGTAGTGACAATGCTGCCTAAAACAAAGGAACCGGGTAGTCTGGATCTTCATCAAGGGCTTGTTTGAGCATGTCACTGGTCAGCACACTTCAGCTTTTGGTGAAAAGTATTTTGCAAATCCTTATTTGAAGGCCTGTTTGCGGGCGCATGGTCTGACAGGGTCTATGTTGCAAGTCAATAATATGGCACTAGCAGGGCACACTCAGATGTGCATGAAGCACATGGATCATCTGGTCTCCACTAAGGGAAGAAGTACTGCAGCAGATGGATTGGCCTCCCTTCCAGCAGACTCTGTTGGCTTACAAGTCCCAGCTATGGGTACTCTAATAAACTGTTCCTCAGCTGAGATCTCAGCGATGGAGATTTCTACTGTTATTGAACCCTAGTCTGCCCAGGTAAGAGGAAATCACACCTTTTTGTCTTCATAAAACCTCCCACCATTCTATAAGATGAAGCACTTCAGATAATATATTTTTTAACTTTCTTGTTTATTCAAAGGGATCAATCCAGCCAAACTTGCCTTCTCAACTTCTGGGGCACAGAAGCACCTCACACCACCTCCTGTCTTCCACAGCCACGAAAGCTAATCCAAGGGTGAATTCAGTCTCCCAGTTGATGCCATGCCACTGTCTTCCCCAGAACTCTCACTGAAGTACCAAACTTGACAAGTGTGCTCTTGGGTGTGAAATTAAGTGACAGGAATCCCTCTAAGGTAGAGGCTGATGCTTCTCAGACTGGTAGCATTCCTATATTGGGGATAAGGTTCTGGGCTATTACTAATTAACAACAATGGAGCACTTACTGAGATATTTGGAACTGCTGAGGCCATATGCTCCCAAATCATGGCTCTGTGTGGGATGGAAGATGGAGAGGTCATTTACTAGCTGCCTTTCCATGCAACTCTGCTACACCGTCTCTTCACCCCAGACTTTGCTGGGTCCACTTAAAGGGCCGGTCCTGTAGTGCCTTCTGCAAGAACCTGTGCGCTTCGCAAACATTAAATTATACTCAAAACACTTCCTGAGCGGTAGGGCAGTATTATTAGCCCTTGTTCACATAGGGGAAACTGAAGGACAGAAGTTAATGACTTAATCAAGGTCACACAGGCATTGGCATTAGAGGGAATAGACTCCCTCTTATGTTTTTATGAGATACAGAAAAAGGCAAGAGATACGGGGAAAAGATGGAAGTCAATGGAGACTCCTGCATCTGTGCTCAAGCCACTAGTATACATTTTCTTCCCTATCACACAGTTACCATTGTAATCCCATTCAGTTACTTACATTAGAAATACCAGAAACCACGCCACTACTGCACAGAGGCCTCCTTAAGTATTAATGCCCCCACCCCCCGCTCTAAGACTGCTGGAAACTGCTCAGAAAGAGGCATCTTTACTGAGCTGTAGTAGTCGTAATCCATCATCCCTTGCTTTTGCTCCAGACAGGATTTTATCATTGACTTCCATTTTTTCCCATTTTTCTCCTGCCTTTTTCTGTAGCTCAGAAAAACATAAGGTCGGCCATACTAGGTCAAACCAATGGTCCATCTAGCCCAGTATCCTGTCTTCCAACAATGACTGGTGCCAGATGCTTCAGACGGAGTAAACAGAACAGGGCAATTTATCGAGTCATCCAGTCCCAGCTTCTAGCAGTCGGAGTTTCGGGACAGCAGAATATAGAGTTGCAGCCCTGTCCATCCTGGCTAATAGCCATTGAAGGCCCAATCCTTCATAAACTTAGCCAATGAGTGGCAATGAGTTCCACAGATTGTGCGTTGTGTGAAGAACTACTGCCTTTTGTTTTAAACCTGCTGCTTGTTAATTGTATTGGGTGACCTCTGGTTCGTGTGTTTTGTAAAGGGGTTTTATTCATTTAGGCATTTAAAATTAGAGGCCAGTTGTGAAAATTTAGCCTGTATGTGTTGAAAAAAAAGATGCTTAATACAGCTGTCACCCTTCCTCCCTCCTCCCATCCCACCCCCCGCAATACCTGGTGCAATAGGATTAGTTTTTGCTCTGTTTAGGTCAGAAATTGAGGTGTGCTTGCGAAGTACACTGGATCAACAAATCAGGGATTTGCACATGCTTAGTTTCTGGCACTTTTTTTTTTTTTTTTTTTTTGGTTACTAGGGAAAATTCACTTTAGGCTAAGTAGAAAACATTTGGTCCCCAAAACACAAGATGTGTTCCCACCTCCACCTGCAATTTATTCATAAAATCTCCGGCAGTGAAAGAGTTAAAATATTTCTGTATCTATTAATGTGAAGGCATCTAAAAACTGAGCTAATGCTGGTTAATTTGAGTTCAGCTTAGTGATAGCAGTTCATTTTAGAGGTCATGTCCTAGCATTGGCTCATAGCCGGAGCACTATATTCATATATTCCCCCATTAGATGGGGTTTGAACTGGGTTTTAGAAATATAGTACAAAAGCGGCATGACAAGGAAGTCTGAGAGACCAGGTAACAATGTACAGGCTCTGCATAAAGAATGCATATTATTTCACAGAGAAGAAATGTTTCACTTACTTCTCTAGGAGATCTGTACTTTGAATAGCACCAAGACCGTACTACCCAGCTACCTCTCCATCAGTAGAAGCTCCTAATTCTCAGACAAGAGATGGGCTGCCTGGCCACCTTACTACAGAGCAAAAGAAAAGGTACATTACCCAGGTTATTTAGTATTCTGGCTTGTGTTCTGACAGTCCCTGCTGTGTAATTTCGCTCAGATGCCAAAGTGCATTAACGGTGAGAAGACCGGAGAGTGAATTGCTGCTTATAAAACACAGGGAACAGAATTATAGGCACTATAGCCATTCAGCTGTTTTTACAATGACTGGTCAGCATAA